ATGAATGAATGAATGAAAACACATTTTTTTTCCAAAACACTTTGTGAACACATTGGAACACACAAAATACCGCGAGATATATAAAATAGTCTACATAAGGTACCGTCTGTTAGATGTTTGTGCCTTTAAGAGGCGGGGCCTGGTGGGGTGTGACTTCAACGACTCTGCTTGTAAGTTTGAGTGTGTGAGCGATGGCTCACAGCAGCTCCTGCCTGAATGTGCTCATTGTCTTGATGTGTTAAACTACATAAAATGTTCTCCCAGCATTCATTCAACAGCTAAAATATGTTTTTTTTTTAGCAATCAGTATATCTAGTTGAATAACTGACAAAGATATCAAATGACACTTTAATTTCAACTCTCCTGCAAATTGATTCCAGACAGCATCATACAACAAGACTGATATTATCTGACTTTTGTCTGAAGCAAAGTCCAGGGATAAAGTATCAGGCGGAGAGAATGCAGAGAGGTAAGTCTATACTAGCATAAATAAAGAAGAAAAAGTGACACGAGTGAGCTGACTGAGATTCGGATGGTAATGCAAGTTGCCGTGCCGCGAGGCCACTGTAGCCATGCAGCAGCATGTCTACAATGAGAACAGCCTGCATTCCTAAGAGATTGATAATTACCCACCAAGGACTCCTCTGGCCAAATTTACTTGCACCCTCCCACCGTCTCCGCCCCCCCCCTCCACTCCACACCACCACCCAATTCTCCCTTTCACCACCTGACTGCATCCCTCACTTCCACGCCTCACATCCCCTCATGCACATGAGTGCAAGAGACTAGCCACATGCCGCAACAAGTCAAAGGATAGCGGCGGGGCCATGACTCACGAGCAGATAACTGTTCGCTAACATGAACTGTTACAGAGTTTCTCCTTCATCAAACGTTATCCAGGTCGATTTTCTTGGTTTTTGCCACACCGTTAATTACAATGGCTGTTAATACCTAAAGGACTAGGTTCCACAAGAGGTGTTGAGAGATTTACATTCAAAGCATTGAGACTCAGCCCTCACCATACGCGTTATTACTTGCTAGCAAAGTGAGAGACTTGTTTCGCGTTCACATTTTACGGTGGTTAACTTCTTTTTTTAAGCTGTGTGTAATTGTGTTTTGTGCTATCTATACGCTGCGTTTAAAATCAAATTCTATTTCCATGCGTCATTAAAATTAAAACTGGGTGCTTTGCATTTACGTCCTAATGGTGACTTTTTCAAGTTAAGAAGTCTCTTACTTTAGTCCCTGTAATGTTTATGATTTTTTTTTTTATATCAACAGTTTTGCCCTGGGACAGATCATTTCTATTTCGATTATTTACCTTGGAAAAAATGATTTGGAAATTATTAAAAAAACTATTGTGGAGTATATCCAGCACAGATTGTGTTGACCCTTCGAGGTTCCACTCTACATTAGCTTGGTACCATTCAAAGTATTACTTTTGTACCTTTGACTTCACATTTAATACAGAGCAATGGTTAAATTTCAAATTGGTGTAAATTTCTTGTTAGAATTCTTAGTGTGCTTGTTTTAGTGTGTGTGTGTGAATATAAACATGTTTCCTCTACTATAATGGACCCCGTAAACTTGCAGTTTAGCACTTGCAGATTCACCTTTTTTTCCATTTTTTCCCCCCAATTTCAAATTTCATTCGTTTGTTTTTCTTGTGGTTTTTTTTTCTTTTTTGGGGGGGAGGCAACCCCCATTTTTGTGGAAAATGCATACTGGAGGTTTATCACTGATTGCTTTTTGAATAATTTTTTTGGGGGGGTTACACAGCCCCCCCTTTTGCATTTCAATGGGCATCAATTAATATGCGTTTTTCCCTATTCATAGGGCACCCGTTTAAAAAATGTACTCAACACAGTTTTATTTACTTCTTTTGGCGGCCAATATCCGCTCACGTGTGCAGCCAAACTTAGAGGAGTCACTCACGCCATGATGGACGAACACTTTCACTAGTTTTACTTTCAGTTTCGCTTGCTTGATGCTTGTTGGAGAAATCGAAATGTAAACTTCAATTACTGTTTTGAACACCATCTTTCAGTCTGAAGTGTTCACGATGACAACTTCATAAAATTCTATCAAACACATGTGACGTAAACATAAATCAGTAAATCACAAGTCAGATTAGGATAATAATTCACACAAATCTGTGGCTTTAATGAATTCCATTTTTTATGTTTCATCTAACTATGATCTATAAACCTTTGGACTCCACTTCTGAAGCACTGAACTCATCTAGTAAATAATTGGAAAGAAAGAAAGAAAGAATGAAATAAATAAATAAACAAACAAACAAACAAACACACACACACACACACACACACACACACGCATACACACACACACACATACATACATACATACATACATACATGTAAAGAATAAAGCCTACCAACTGAAATGAAACAGTGACTACATTTAAATGAAGTCAATATTTAGGTTAAGGTCAAAATTCCTGTTTCGGAAATATTTGGGATAACCCATTGACATGCGTGAGTGGACAGAGTTACTCCCGCATTAAAATGCTAGAATTTAAACGGGCGAATAGACAACATTGTGACGCAAATAGACATCATTTACGCCTGTTACTACATTCAACATTTTCACCAAAAATAACGTGAAAATGCTGTGGAGAAATCAATGTATTCAGGTTAGGTGAAGTATAGCAAGTAAGCAGGATGCTGCGCATACACTTACTTCCTGGACTAAAAAGTATATCAACAGTTTTGCCCTGGGACAGATCATTTCTATTTCGATTATTTACCTTGGAAAAAATGATTTGGAAATTATTAAAAAAACTATTGTGGAGTATATCCAGCACAGATTGTGTTGACCCTTCGAGGTTCCACTCTACATTAGCTTGGTACCATTCAAAGTATTACTTTTGTACCTTTGACTTCACATTTAATACAGAGCAATGGTTAAATTTCAAATTGGTGTAAATTTCTTGTTAGAATTCTTAGTGTGCTTGTTTTAGTGTGTGTGTGTGAATATAAACATGTTTCCTCTACTATAATGGACCCCGTAAACTTGCAGTTTAGCACTTGCAGATTCACCTTTTTTTCCATTTTTTCCCCCCAATTTCAAATTTCATTCGTTTGTTTTTCTTGTGGTTTTTTTTTCTTTTTTGGGGGGGAGGCAACCCCCATTTTTGTGGAAAATGCATACTGGAGGTTTATCACTGATTGCTTTTTGAATAATTTTTTTGGGGGGGTTACACAGCCCCCCCTTTTGCATTTCAATGGGCATCAATTAATATGCGTTTTTCCCTATTCATAGGGCACCCGTTTAAAAAATGTACTCAACACAGTTTTATTTACTTCTTTTGGCGGCCAATATCCGCTCACGTGTGCAGCCAAACTTAGAGGAGTCACTCACGCCATGATGGACGAACACTTTCACTAGTTTTACTTTCAGTTTCGCTTGCTTGATGCTTGTTGGAGAAATCGAAATGTAAACTTCAATTACTGTTTTGAACACCATCTTTCAGTCTGAAGTGTTCACGATGACAACTTCATAAAATTCTATCAAACACATGTGACGTAAACATAAATCAGTAAATCACAAGTCAGATTAGGATAATAATTCACACAAATCTGTGGCTTTAATGAATTCCATTTTTTATGTTTCATCTAACTATGATCTATAAACCTTTGGACTCCACTTCTGAAGCACTGAACTCATCTAGTAAATAATTGGAAAGAAAGAAAGAAAGAATGAAATAAATAAATAAACAAACAAACAAACAAACACACACACACACACACACACACACACGCATACACACACACACACATACATACATACATACATACATACATACATACATACATACATACATACATACATACATACATGTAAAGAATAAAGCCTACCAACTGAAATGAAACAGTGACTACATTTAAATGAAGTCAATATTTAGGTTAAGGTCAAAATTCCTGTTTCGGAAATATTTGGGATAACCCATTGACATGCGTGAGTGGACAGAGTTACTCCCGCATTAAAATGCTAGAATTTAAACGGGCGAATAGACAACATTGTGACGCAAATAGACATCATTTACGCCTGTTACTACATTCAACATTTTCACCAAAAATAACGTGAAAATGCTGTGGAGAAATCAATGTATTCAGGTTAGGTGAAGTATAGCAAGTAAGCAGGATGCTGCGCATACACTTACTTCCTGGACTAAAAAGACCTAAAGATTCCTTACAAATATGATAGACCATGTGCAGCGTACAAACTAATATCCCGCTCAAAGGAGGTAACCCAATCGTGTTTATATGACCCAATGTTCAGGAAAAGGAGTAATCCGGGGGTCATTCGGGTTTTTAAAAACCCGTATAAGAGCATATTCATGTATTCGGGTCTGTTTGCGTGGCCTTGCAAGCCTGAATACTGCCAATAGTCAGGTTTTAAAAGTGTTATTGACCACATGTAAACATCGTCAGTGTTTTGTTTTTTTCTGGCTGGGGGTTACAAATTGCAGTTTTGCGTTATGAAAATGGCATTCTTCTAAACGGCTGTGTTGATTTGAAATGAATTAACTGTTCGGTCGCACCTCACTGACACCACAAGATAGTCATTAGAATCTTGCCTGCATTTCCTGAAAAATCCTCTCATTTGTCCATGTTGTTGGTACGCATGTACACCACTTCTGAATAAAGCCCTCAAAACGAAGTTCCTCCAATCTACCGTCAAATGAAGAATGTAAAATAATTTTAAGCACAAAATTTTGGAACGCACGCCTACCCATGTTTGTGTATGCCAAATATTGTTTGCGATAAGAAGCCACCGATGAGTTACTCATCAGCTAAGCCTATTGATCAACAATGTCACTCTTCAGTCTTGAGTTTCTTTCCAAGCTGAAGCAAACACACACTTAATCTACATCCAAACATATGATCATAAGTGTTAACTATTGTAACACAACCATAGTTGTTCCCTTAAACATCTCCTGAACCATTAGGGCAAAGAAGAAAAAAAGCTTTCACCTCAGCAGGTACCATGTTTCTGTCTTCTCCCCAGTCGGCACGTCTGTGTTACAGTCTTGTCTCAAACTTTATACTGTGTATCTCTGTTTCAAGCCAAAGCATCTAATGTGCCTGCGGTGATTACATAATTCACCTGTAATCTCCATGGCTACGTACATGCATGTCCCAGCATGGCAGGGTGCAAGGGAAGGAGCACCAGTATGCGACACACCCTCTCTAAACAAATGGCTCTGCCTCAGCCTCACCTAAAGCTACAAGTGCACAAGCTAAAACACAAAGGCTTTTCCTTCCTGTGTGACTGAACTGTTGGTAGTTTGTTTTTCTTTTGGATTTTAGTGGGGGTGATTGGATTAGGACCTCAACTTTCAAATTTCAAAGTCCAGAGAGGTATCAGACAAACATGGGAAGTTATCTCTGTCAGGTTAATCAAGTAGGAATCCGTTTAGCATATAACAATTCGTACAGCATACAACAGCATTATGATGTAAACACACACACACACACACACACACACACACAAAAACAATCACAAGCAGTGGAAAAGTACTCCCACTCAATATATTTAAGTAGAAGTACCCGTACTTGTGCTTTAAAAAAATGGTAAAAACAGATTAACCAAGTAAAAGCAGAATAGGCAGACTTTGAAATGCACTTGAACACAAATCAGAAACTTATTTTTTGCTGCAAAATGCCCATTTTGATAAACTGGTGTAATTGGGTAAAATAAATAAAAAAATAAATGGATACATATATATATAAAAGGACTTCTCTGCACACAAAAAGGTTTCCCTATTTTATTAACTCGCTTGAGGGCTTACACAGAGAAGAAAAACAAGCTGTCTTGTGAACGCTATGGATTTTATGATAACAAAAAAAACATTTTCCCATAGCTTTGCCAATATTTTTAACAATGGAAAATGCTAATTTAGTTAAGATATTTTTGGGACAACAATATTTAGAGTGCCAAAAGCTTGTGTTTTTAGTCTGTCACAAACACAACGCATCCAATCCGAAAAAGTCTTGTAGCCAACAATGTAAAAAATTATCTTAAATCAGACCACTGGAAGGGAATATCTTGCATCTCCCAATCATCATCATCGTTAACGCTCCCCGGTTCTCCTTCTTCCATGTCACTCCTGTCCCTGTTTTTTCCACATTACAAAAGCCAAATATTTCAATCAAGCAAGATCCTGTCTGTTTACATTGCTTTCATGGCTTTGTCTTATCCGGATAACAAAAGTATCAGATGTATTTTCTCAAAATAACCAGTGGAAAGTACACCTATCTGTTTTTCAATGTGGGGAATTCACATTTAGAAAATGCAAATACCCAAGGGCAGCCATCTGAAAAAAATATATACTTTGGTACAGTAACTCAGTATTTGTACTTTGTTACTTAACACACGCACACGTCAGTGAATAGATTAAGCCATGTGTGAGAGCTCCACGCTGTCAAGGCAAACCAGTGATGGGAAACAACACAATAGCCTTCATTGTCATGAGCTCCGCGGCTGGGAGAAACGCGACAGGTCTTAAATTACCTTTACTTAGGATCCCTCAAGGCGAAGCTGAGCAAATGTCCCACACCTACTTTTTTCCCATACATGTCTCGACTCAACCTGAATCAATTTCTCACATTACACTTTTGTGTTTGAGCGTCACCACCTGAGCTACCATGGTAAAACCGATTTAAACGAGGTTTCAGTCAAACATTTGTGATTTTTTTTTTAAAGAAACAAATTAGTTCCAAGAACAGGAAATCATGTTTAACGTTTCCATTGCCATGTGACGCAGCGAAACTGAAATTCTCCTCGTAATTGACGACAAAGAAGATGACTACCGTGTTAAACTTCTGTGGTCCGGGTGGCTTGACGTCCCCTCAGCCCCTCTCCATTTGCAGCCTTTCTTTCCACTGTGAGTCCAAAAACTTTTCAGCGTCCCGAACAGGCAAGCTTCAGGTGAGACATTTTTTTGCAAAAGGAAAGAATCAGGAAGCTACACTGGATTCGCGTGTCGACGCGCTTGGTCGGGGGTCAACTCAAGTATTTGTATCCCAGCTGTCAGCCGTCTGAGGACGCCCCGCCGGGCCGCGGAGGGAAAATGGCTCGACGAGGTGGCGCTCGGGTGGACATGTACCGGCCCACCTGCAGGAGGCTGGCCGGCTGTTGCTCAGGTGTGGATGCGGCCATACGATCTTGTGTGAGAACGACACCTAGTGGCTAACATGGAAAAATACATAAACCATAGCTAGAAAGCTAGACAATTGTCGGGGTAGCAATATTCACAAATATCCAGTACAGTATTTATAAAAAGGGATATTAACCTTTCGGGTGAAATGTATAACAATACCACAACCTTTACAGGTGAACTTGGCCTTCATTAAACTTTTGAATGTACATGTTCAATAATTCATTACCTTAATGTTCTCTAGCCATGAGTTGAATGGCAAAATTATTGAAGTATTTTCGTGCATTTTTTCCAGTGATGCATTTTCCAAGATGAATGATACATCCATAAACAGAATAAGGAGCCACATCTACTGCCTTAGTACTGCAAATAAAAAGCTCCTTTCTCAATAGCCCTATCATCAATACAGTAGTATTATGTTCGGTAAAACAATGCTCCAAATTCTAGAATTAATTTCACCCAGGAGATTGTAATGTGTATGTATTTGTACATTTCATTTTCACGTAATTCGTGCAATAACGGGCAAACCATACCCCACTGTATTTGCTTTTTAAAATCAGTTCATTTTACTCATATGAGTATTTGAATTTTGGGCAGTTATCCTTCAGAAGGTAGGACTTGTTTCAAAGAAATATACAATTCTAAAGTAATGTTTTCAAAGTTTTAATGACAAAATGTCTTTACCGTTAAGTTTCATGATGTTTTCTGAAGGGCGACCAGCATTATATGGATCCTTACTATCAATTCCTAAAATTTTAATCATCAATAACTGAAACTGACTTTAAGTATGGCTGGGTTAGCGTTTGAAACATTTATTCATCAGGCATGAAAAAAAGTATTTTATTTATTTTACACTTATCTTTTCCGCTATTGCTCAAATTATGAAAACGACCCATATACGTATTACAGGGGAATACAGAGCATGTACAGTATGCCAGTCTGCAAGGAGCACTGACCCCGATTTTTGATCCCTCGTGGGGGTCTGACAGACTTTTAACCCAGGGATAGGGTTACCACACTGACTCTAGCTGTTATTAATACACGCAAAGTCGGCCTCTGTTTTGCTAACGGCAGAAACACAGCAGGGAGAGTCTCTCAACCGTGAACAAATTCGACCAAGCTACCATCTCTCTGGACTGCAATCTTCAAACTGAGTGAGTATCGGCTGAGGGTGAAATTACCATTAGTTGATTAATTGTTTTGATTTACAGTCATCACTCTATGGTAAGCTCATTGGCTTTAATTTTCCTTGTTATGCAAAATAACTTGAGTCAACAACCCAAACTGTGATCTAATCTTTGACATTTGATTGCTTTCATCATCATCTGACTAATGACAATTACAAAAATGCAACAGTGATTAATCAGTCTCATGTTTTGTTCATCTTGCAGTCACCATGGACAGTCACGAAAAGGCACCCACTGAGGAGCCACCCACACAACTCATTCAATTTCTTGAAGACATCAAACAAAGCGCTGATGATGACAAATTAGAGCACGACCGCACTTCTGAGATGGACAAGTCAGGCATGGAGAGTGTTGGACAGATGTTTGAACACTGCATCCAGCAAGTGTCCCTTTTGGAGATACGGAGAGAAGAGCTGATACAAGAGTTACTGTATCTGCAAGAGCCCATGATGCAAATTGTGGATCAGCTGAGGGAGAAGCTGAGGGAAAAGCGGAGACTGATCGCCCTGGCTCAGAGGGATCACACGGACGTATTTGAGGAAGTGCAGCAGGTGAAGAGGAAACTCTTCAACACAGCCAGAGACTGCATCCACAGCCAAGTGATGCTGGCTGAACAAGAGTATTGGGTGGCCCAGGCGGCACTAACGAAGGTCAGACACCAGCTGGGTGCTTTTAGGCTCACAGGATTAGGCTGCAGGTTATTCTTTTCTATATTCCGCAGTGTGTGTCATGCAATGAACATTGACCATGATCTGATCAGCGTGAGTAATTGTGGGTAATGTCGGGTCTGGCAAAGACCTGAGAATAATTAGCTTTAATTTGCAGGGGGGTTTTGTACAATTTCTCTTTCAGCCAAAGATTGTTCAATATTTCGCCAATACATAATGACCAGTAACAGAGTATTGATATCCAATTGAAGAGCTGACGCAAAGATTTACTGTGGTAATATTTTTAGGCTATTTTTCAGACTCATCTTTTCACAGGAGGAGCTTAAGGCCCAAGTCCAATGTCTGACCGAGGAGTTGCTTCAGCTTCAAGAGTCCCATCAAAAACATCTGAATTGTTTGAGGGATCAGGCCAAGAAGCCATGCAGACCGAGAGCCATGAGCGATGTCAACCTGTGCCGACAAGCTTCCGTCCGCCTCCAGCGCCGGCTCAGCGTCAGCATTCAGGAGTTGGAGAGCTGCTATGAGCCCCGACTCATCGCACTGCTTAAGAGGAGGCAGTTGGGAGAGAAAGCCTTGAGAGTAGGCCAAGAGCAAGCAGCGAGCTTTAGGGCCCAACTAGAGCCCCTCAAACAGGAGGTACGACGACTGGAGGAGCAGAAGACATGTCTGGAGCAAAGGATTAACCTGATGCAGCAGGAGAGAGAGGAAATGATCACACATCACAAGGTACAACACATCAACAATTAAACAGATATTATGGATGTTTTCATACACATAAAAATGTTTCTTTACCCAGGAAGTCGAGGAGGAAGTAAAACAGGCCCTGAGGAAACTAGTGCTGGACTTTGAGGTTCAAAAAAGACTAAAAAAAGATTTGGAAGCTGTCACCAATTATATTTTAGATGAGATGGCAAATCTCAGGTGAGTTCTAACAAGTTAAGACATTTTCTTGGAAATCATGTCAATACTCAGAAATGTTCACAAATCAAAGTGGGTTGAGTTAATACTTCAACATTATGTTGAGACATGACTTGATAAAGTAGTAATTTATATTTTTCCCCCACACAATACCTTGTGTGAATGAATTACAGGAGTCTAACTTGTACATATTCTATCTAGAGTCTGCGATGATGCTTCAGCAGAAGAACAGCCAAAGGATTCGACTTCGTGTGAATCCACGTAATGTCAAACATTTTTGCTTGAAATTTGTTTTATAAGGTAAATCAAATACAAAGCATGAACTCTGTTATTATAAGGACTACCATTCATTTTTTTTTTACATGCCATCCATCCACATTCTATAGCGCTTGGCCTCATTGGGGTCACGGGTGTCTTTGGGTGAGAAGTGGGCACACCCTGGACTGGTCAACTGCAGGACTGATACAGTGACAAAGAAACATGCATTCACACTGCAATGCAGACCACTTTACTTCAAATATTTATTATGAATATAAGCACACAAGAGCTCAGATGCAGCACAACAGAACAGAAAATGTAGAGGGAAGAAAAATGGATGCAAGATGTAACACAGCTAGAAAATTCTGACTACTTTCACACAAATAAAGTGGAAACCTTCGTATGTACATTTGTATAAAAATGGATCTTCGTAGAAATGCGTGGATCTTAACTAACCGATTCCAGAAAAGATGAGGGAAAACAAACTCGTTGAAATAAAGAATTGGAATGACAGCCGACTTCTTGACGGTTTCATCACATCTGGGTTGAATAAATTGGATTATGACAAACTAACATATCTAAAAGAATTGGAACCAATTCAGACTGATCACAACGTCATGTTATGATTTTCCCCAAAAACACTGTTGCCCGAAATGTAGATTTAAAAGAAGTGCTTATGCACCCAACAATGAAAAGAGATCATTTGAATAAGCAGGTCAGAGGAAAAGATGAGAATGCATTCACGCTTGAACCTCAGAATCTGCTACTCCTTCAGGATCTTCATCATTGTAGATGTTTTCAGCCTGCAGAAGAAAAAACATTTCAAAAATTCTAATTAGGACAATATATCTAATAACTGACGTTGTTTACAATTTATTCATTACCATTTGCCACACTTGCATGATGTTGTCCTCAGACACAGAACAGATGACCCATGGCTCGTTGGGGTTCCATGAGAAGTCTGATATCTTCGCTGTGTGTCCACCATGGATGAACTAAATCAAAATATTTGTGAGTGACGTGACATCCCAGCCAAAGGTCCGAATTAAACAAGAACGGCTAATTGCTAATTGCCCAACTGACCAGCAGCTCAGGGGGGCCATCCTCTGCATCCTCGGGAGATTGCTCCTCGCCGATCTTACTGAGGTCCCACACGTTTAGCCTCCGGTCTGTGCCGCTGGAGGCCAGGATGGTTTCGTTATGAGGAGACCACTGCACCTGTTTTTCAAAAGTGGGACAGACGTTTCATTTCAAGATCGACCAACTAAAATGCGACAGCAAAGCTACTTATCAACATGAAGTCATGTTTTAGAAATATTTGGTGTCAGGCGCAGACATCAACGTAGGGGTGAAACAAGTCAGTAATTTGAGCGCTTCAATTAAAAACAATGCTCAAGGAAATGTTTCTGCCTCGGGTACCAATTCATTTGGTGACTGTGTGCATGGTTGAGAAGAAAGCCAAGCCAGCAGCAGCAATTATTGATGCTATGGATGACAGTAACACCACCAACATGAGAAGGCCAACTTCAAAATAAAATCCTCCCAAATATAGTAATACACGCAAACATGCGCCATGGCACACTTTTACTTTGAAGTTGTTGGTGGCACTGCGTGATGACAGACTTGTCATCTTCCCGACAAAGTTTAAACCAAGTTTAAATCTACATTGCCATTACAAACATCACCCTGAAATGTTGTTCAATCACTAATTAAAGATGCTAAAGACTCAAATTAATAACACTGGCATTATAGAGTACATCTGTTTCCAACATTAGCAGCTTAGTGGCGAGGAGCAAGCCACTAAACAAGTGCCCAATACAGGCTTGCAAGAGCCATCAGACTTCTTTTCAAAGGCAGTTTAATACGTAAAAATGACCCCGCACACTTTGATACTGACAGCTTGACACACTTGTAGGTCCTACCTATCAATTTTTAGCAAAGCAGGCTTATCAAGTGTGTCATTTTAGCAGGTAAAATCACTACTGTTATTATGACATCACTTCATCATAGCCCAAAATGTCACTAGTGATTCCTGATAGTTTTGCTACTATGTACAGTTTGAATTTAAGGGGGAATCATCTAAAAATTAAAAATAGAAACGTGCTTTCTCGTGTGTTCATAACTGTCCTTTAACCAATCAAAAATATACAAAAATGTATTTTATCTGAATATTCAATTATTTGATAACATTTTCAGTAAACAATCAGAATACAAAAATATTCTGTAGCTGCAGCGCTGTATCAGTGAGCCCCTTTTTTTTATACTAGGCTAATGCTTTAGTCTGATTTAAAAAAAAAAAGCATAATAATAAACAAGCATAATCACATTGACTATCAAAATCACTGACCTGGAATATCTCATCTTTGTGAGACTCAAAAGAGTGCAGTTTTAGCTTCAAGTTTCTCAGGTCCCACAAAGCCACGGTCTAAAAACACATCCACATTCACATCAACTCCCACTGATGATAGTAAGACTGGCGACAATCACGAAGAGCGCAAACCCACTTTGTCTGCGGAGCCAGTGGCCAGGATGAACTCACTGTACGGATTGAAAGACAAGCAGTTGACCTCAGCAGTGTGGGCATCCACTGCGTGACTGGGCTTGGATGTGTTGTTGGATCGAGTGTCCCATCTTTTCAAGGGAATACATCATCAGGTTTGAAGACAATGCTGTGCTCGAGTGTTTACGTGGTGTTCAATTTAGCTTACATCATGAGTTTCTGGTCGTCAGCCACAGACCCAAAGAGTGACTCATGGAGCAGGTGCCATGAGACATCCTCCACAACAGCGGTATGGCCTGTAAAGATAGTCTTGGCATCCACTATCTTTCCCTCCTTAGGCACGGTGCTGATGTCCCACAAGCAGATGGTCTGAAGAGCAGGCAGACAGTGGTCAGAAACTGGCATGAGCAACTGAGAAACTACCACTTCGCTTGTTTAGTTAAAACAAAATAAAATAAATAAAAATTACGTGGTCATCCGAAGCACTGAGGAGGCAGCCGCTTAGGTTTGGATTCCAGGAGAGGCCGTAGCCCTCTTTCTGGTGACCTCTCAAGCGAAGGTCTGGAGTGCACTCTCCAGAGGGGTCTTGAGGAAAGAAAAAAAGAATATATTGACGAGGCAAGATTAGGGAGAGAAAATTACACCGGTTAACCAAGGATTGTGAAGCATGGCTTGAGTGTTACCTGGCTTGGACGGGTGCTTAGTATAATCAAAGACTAGCACATCACTGGTTGGGGTCTTGGTGGCAATAATGCAAGGGTTTTGGGGCATGTACCGGGCTCTGTTGACTTCTCCTTCATGATTGATTTTGATTTCAATCTCTATCTTTCCACTCACAGAGCCAAAACCACCAAACTCTGTAACAACACACACATAAAAACAACATGATTAATACTGATAAAACGAAATAATTCAGATTAACAGGGAAAATATTGACAACAGGATAACATTACAAAATACCAGATCTCAATGTCACCCACCGAGATTCTAAGGGACATTCAAGTAAATTTCCAATAACTTCGCTGCGTTTTTTTTAGATCGAGGGAGAGAAGGAAAAAAAGAAGAGGGGGAAAAAAATAGCCTGGCACTGGCTTTGTTTTGTTACAGCGGCTATTTTGACAGGTTAAATCTAACAGACACAGGGGCAAGCAACATTAATGAGGTGATTAACTAGTTCAATTAATTTTACAAGATCCAGTTTACTGCAATGTTACATTTTTGTGCAATTGGTTTTTCAACATAATTGTGTTCCTTTTCTTTCTAGACAAAGTTAATTTGTCTGTCTTGTGAATGGCTCTTAGGTGGTAGTACTGTCACTGCACGCCATTCGAACTTGATTAGCATGCTCATACTGTTTTGTCTATTTTTCATCAACAAGAAAGCTAACGATCATTACAACTAAAGTGAATAATAATCCTAATTCTTAAACCAATGGTTCCCGACCAGTGTGTTGGGAGTTAATCGGGTGTGCCGTGTGAAATTAACCAATTGATTGAATTATTTACTACAATTTATCTTTTTATAACCGCCTGTGAAAGCAAAACCTAGTGATGGGCAGTGTCCAGTTTTTTAATCTGGTAGTGGCTCATTAGATTTTTCTCGAATGTCAAAATACCTGCCTTGGGTAAATAATGCTGAGGAGACACTGGCCGACATTATACTATCCCTTACCTCCTTTCTCACTGTCATAGTGGGAGGCATCGAACTGAGCATCATCATTGGGGAGCTGAACGCTAGCAATCACAAGGTGGTTCTGCTCATCTGAGGTGTGTGTCCCCAGAACCAGCCTGTGTACACTGTAATCCTTTCCTTCCGGTCTGCAAACAGAATTAATGCATTTCATTTCCAATTCATTCTTTGTGATACTTTAGTCCAGGCGGTGCCCACCTACCTGGTAACATCTGGCAGCCACTGAGCAGTTAGACTGGGCCACTCCAGGGCATGAGTCATGACCAGGTCGTAGAGGAAAGGGGTGTTCTTCTTCCAGATCTTGTACTCCTCATTGATCACCCTCTCCTCCACAGCATCGTCAAAGGCAGCTACAAATAGGGCAAACATCGAGAACAAGTTTGTGAGTTACCTCAACGTTTTCAAACAATGAATAATACATACATACATCATTAAAGACGGTAATATACATGACGGACAGTAGGGATATACAACAGCCAGACAGTGCCTGACTTCATAATTAGCTTCAGGGTTTATTTTGATTTGCAGATCACATTGGGACACGTTGCTAAAGTGACAAGAAAAAAGACCAAGTGCCGCTCAGCCCGCAACCTAAGCACAAGAGCTATCCACAACTCCAAGTGAAACGACAAATTACCACCCACTAGTAGATTAGACCCCGTGTATTTAGCACGCTCGTGGCAGCTAAAGCTACATTTGCTAACAGCTAGCTTGTGCGTTTGTAACAATAAAATAAGATGCGTGCAGATGCGCCAACCCCGGACCAACTAGTCCAACAGTTTCGCGATTTCAGGGTATCCATAAACTAAGTTGTGCCAAGTAAACAGGAAAAGTCTCCATTCATACCGTCTTTGTCAGCCATGGCGCCTTTGTTGAAAAGCTAATACTCGTCCAAGTGCGTCTTTCCGGGGCGAGCGCTTTGAAGACAGCACGCAGCGTCTGCAATGGCGCCAACTCCGTCGAGCACGATTATCCAATCGCTGTAGCGGAAACCCAACCGGAAGTGAAGCACAGCGTTTGCGTCCCACCCCTTCGACCATGTTGGAAAGCACTGTGGAGTCCGAAATGCTGGAAGTTCTCTTCCGCCAAGCTCTATTCTTGACGTGCTGAACAACCGTGAAATGGACGATCGTCAGCTAGACCTGACAGACGCGCAGAAAGAGACCAAATCCAAGTACCCTCCAATTAACAAGAAATATGAATGTGAGTAAAAATAAGAGTAGAAGTGCTATCTTAACTTACAGTACTAATAGACTATTCGAATAGCCGTCCTAAAAATAAATTACATTTTAGGGCTGGGCAATCTGGCCTCAAAACAAATTTCCATTTTTTTAACACAAAAATGTGATTTCCGGTTTCATCAACTCATCCACTTTTGCTTATAGAACAAGCGAATAACATTTACCGCATTCAAAACACGTTTCTTTGTTTGCCTATCTGCTATCTCAGCTGATTTGAGGCGAAAGGCGGACTATACTTTCGGTTCACATTTACTGAAGAGACAGATGCCCACATTCACGCTTGTGGCAATGCACGCTGTTGCACTGATTGCAAGTCCATCATTGACGCAGCAAAAAAAAAATACTCACAATTCATACAGAATTCATATTTTAGATGTTCAACGATTTAACTGCGTGGGTTTTATGGTCGGTAAGTCTGTTCTCAAAAAGCGCAATTCCTACAATGGGTCATCAACGTGATGCCCTTGAGCACCAGGTAGCCTCCAAGGATCACAGGAGTAGCTCACAGGCCTGTTCTGAGAATAGCTCACTAGTGATGGGACAAAGGGAAGATGTGAGGTCTGTCTAAAGTTATGGCCATGTCTTATTCCAGATTTGGATCATACAGCAGATGTACAGTGAGTGTCCTTTCATGTCAGAGTTCATTCACAGCATTAGGTTTTCGGATGCTGTGATTGGTGTGTTAACATTTTGATTACCCTTTCGAAGAATCCACTCCTGGGGAGACTCCTTGGAGGAAGCCTTTGAGCAATGTGCCATGGGCATGTTTGGCTACATGACGGACACCGAAACAGTGGAACCCACTGATACTGTAGAAGTGGAGTCAGAGGGTGAGAAATGTGATTGCAATCATTGACTCTGAGCAAATAGTAATGCTTTCTTGTGGACATCTACAGGGGAAGACTTGGAATCTCTGCTCTTCCATTTCCTAGATGATTGGTTGTACAAGTTTAGTGCAGATCTGTTCTTTGTTCCCAGAGTGAGTATGTTTCTAAAACTTACCTAAGCCCCCCCCCCCAAAAAAAAACCCAAAATAAAATAAAACAAAACAAACAGTTCCTATGCAAGCTGCAAAATGGAGAGGTCTCAGAAACATGCATTTAACACAATATCTTGATTCCATGGCTACAATCTTCATTGTGGTTTTATTTATGTTTCTTCCAACAGGAGGTCAAAGTTTTGTACATTGACAGAATGCGTTTTAGGATTCGCTCCATTGGGTAACGTTGACCTTTTCATGAAGATGTTACTTCAAAATATACGTACCTCGCGATCTCATTTGGCCGATCTTTCTCATCCTGTGCCTTTATCTTTTGTGTTTTTAAGATGGGGTGAAGAATTCTCGCTGTTGAAGCATCCACAGGTGCGAATCTAGACAAAAGGTTGTTCAGAGAAACATGACAAATTGACAGAAAATGTGACAGAAATTGTTTTTCCTCCCCCAAGGGTACAGAAGTGAAAGCCATTACATATTCTGCGATGCAAATCCACGAGAAAGAAAAACCTGAGATATTTGCAATTGTTGATATCTGATACTTGAAGATATTGATTCTGCGACTGGTTCATTGGAACTGGAATCCATTGATGGCCAAATTTCATGGTCTTTTTATGTAAGAATTTTTATCATTGAATTGTAAAATATGATTTGCTGCTCTTGGGTTCTGTGATAGATTAAGAGTGTATGATATTGCATCAACTATGAATTGTCAATGCAGTGTACAAATAATTCAATCGTTATTAATTGTTGATGTGATTCTGAAATGTTTTGTTTTGAAGAAATATTTATTGTATTGGGAAAATAGTGCCTCTTAAGTTAAACACATGAATAATGAATTTGCATAATTCAATTTTCTGTAGTGCTGTTCCTCATTAGGATTGCGTGTGAGCTGGAGCCTATCCCTGCTGACTTGGGGTAAGAGAAGGGGTACACACTGGGTAGGTCTCCAGTCATTCGTAGGGCACATGTAGAGAACCATTCATGAAAACCAACGCAAGCATGGGGAGAGGAATGCAGAGTTGAGATTCAAACTGAGAACCAATCAACAGAGGCATATTATACATGCTTCCACCTACACACCTTGCTGCCTCAATAATGAAATGTAAACTTCAAAGTACAGTATGTTGTTTTGAAAAATAAATATATTTTGAAAGCAATGCAATTTAAAAGCCGTTAAACGTGTTTGGGTGCTTCTGATGACACATTGTTACTACAAAAAGCCATCATTACTGGAAGTCTGGAATTAAATTGCAGGGGTTAGTCTCGACACTGCAAATACAGTAAGGGTTATGCCACACTGATGTTCTTCAAACTTAACCAACACCTATTTCAAACAATCCACACACTCGGGTCAGTTACTGGACAAAAGTAATTTTATACTATTACGTAAAAATTGCTGTTGGCAGTTTGTAGTGGCGGGAATTGACTACATACACTAACTTTTGCCCCTTATTTCATCAGAAGATGCTCATTACTTTTTACAAGACGTACACAGAGACAGGTAATGTCAACTGCCATTTAGGTCATGATTGAGGTGCTTCTGAGACTCAGCTTCCAAAAAATGTGATTGGGACACCTACTGCCAATAATAATAATATACTTAGCACTGATCTATATATTTGAGAGGCCTCACAAGGAATTAATATGAGTTGGCGGTTGTTACATAAAAATGTTATTTTAAATTTATTGAAACAAGACAAATTTTCGAGATATAGTAAAGAGTAGAAGCCAATTTTGAGGTTAGCATGTTTGCTTGGCCCTCGAGTGAGTGTTCCAGTTTCTCATGTTGTCCCTCTGCAAAATTAATTGCCCGTCAACCCTCTTCTACACGAAATAGTGAAGCCAATCTGAAGTTTGTGGTTTACAGAGATTTCATATTAATATTTGTTCTATTTTATGGACATAAAAATGTAATGTCACAATTACAACATATTGTTCCTCAATACTCCCTGCGTGGGGAAAAAATAGAGAAGTAAAGGATATGCGGTAGAAAAATACAATTTCAAATTACGTTTTTCATTAAAAAGGTTTAACCTTTTTTGGGCGGTGACTATGACGTTCCGTCCGGCGCCTGCCTCTCTTCCCCCTCTGGATCAAATACAGCTGCGCCATCTCCTCTTTGTTCGTTGGCCAAAGGCAACGGGTCGCCGCAAATCTTGGACGGGACGAAATTTTCTCGACGCTGTTCACCACGAGGTTGCTAAATTTTGTTGCTTGAAACCTCGGCGCAGCGAGCAACGCTGGGTTTGTTACATTCGGTGGTGTTCGCGAGGTTTGAGTTGAGCGAGTGCTCATAAAGGCCGATTCGAGTCCGCCGTCGAGACCTGTTCACTGGAACGGCAAAATGGAAGACACAAAATACCTCCCGGAGCTCTTGGCTGAGAAAGACAGCTTGGATTCATCCTTCACCCACGCGATGAAGCTGATTTCTGCAGGTAAGATGATTTGACTCATGATTAGCTTTGTCGGCCTGCCTGCTAACAGTCGGCTCGTTTATTTTTCAATCATTGAGATGTCGATTTAAACACGTGTCTATGTAGGTCAAGCATCCTTGCATTTGGATTTCTAAATATACTCCCCTTAACACATTTTGTTGGTTGTGGTTTATTTTTCTCTTTATTCTGTATTTTAGCTTGGCTTTTTTTTTGTCTTCGCCCATTTGATCAAGTAGCTCCGGAGTGTCTTTGTGAGCCCATTGTGTGTCCTGCGTTACCAATACTGTTAGCAATCGTTACTTGGCTCGGTTTTGGCTAGAAAACTACCCCACATAATTTGACTTATTGATTTGGGATTCATTTACGTTTGTGCATGTTGTACCAATGTTGAGAGTTAACGCTTGAGCCGCTGTTTATCCTTGTGTCCTAGTTTATATATTCATTGTTCTCCTTTTGTAGAGATTGATAGGATCCAAAAAGGTGAACCCAAAAAAGACCAAGACAAAGAGAAATACTTGGACCTATTTGCTACAAAGAATCTCCAGCTCAAAGAGCGTGTACTTATTCCATCCAAGCAGTATCCCAGGGTAAATCTATCCATCCATCCATCCATATTTTGTAAAATAAAACTACTCTTCTGCACTCTTATTGTCTAACCACAGTAGATCAAAATGTTTTTTTTCGGGGGGGGGGGGAATAAAGCTGGGGTAGGGAACGCCAGTTCCTCGTGAGTCAAATCCTTCCTTTTTTAGATTTCTCTCTGCTCCAACACACCTGATTTAATTGGTCATTTTTGTTTCAAGCTTCAACGGAGCTTGCTGAGCTTCAACAGAGCTTGCTGATCATTTGAATCAAGTGTGTTGGGAGATCACACAGGCAGGATATGGCTTTCAAGGAACCAGAGTTCTCTACCCTTGTTATAAAGGATAGTCTTTACTGTGGGTTTTTATTTCGTGTGTGTTGTGCTCAGTTTGAAAGACTTAGATTGAGGTCATGAATCCTGGGTTCTCAGCTGGTTTCTGCATGAGCAAACTGCCAGCTTGCTGCTTCTGTGGGGTAATCCGGAAAGACACTGAGCTATAACTGCTGATTTTGCCTATGTTTAATTCCACAAGGTCAATTTTGTCGGCAAGCTTTTGGGGCCGCAGGGTAGCACCATCAAGAGGCTGCAAGAGGAAACTGGTGCCAAGATTTCTGTTTTGGGCAAAGGTTCTATGAGGGATAAGACTAAGGTATGCATGTGATTTTTCGATTGCCTCAATTCATAATAGATGATGTACCCTTTTATCGTTAGTTTTACTACT